CATAGCTTTGACTATTCGGACTTTTGTTGGCAAGGTGATGTCTCTGCTTTTTAAGACACTGTTGAGGTTTGTCATCGCTTTCCTCCCAAGAAGCAGGTGTCTTTTAATTTCAGGGCTGCTGTCTCCATCTGCAGTGATCATTGAGCCCAAGAAAGTAAAATCGGTCACTGCCTCCATATCCTCTCCTTCTATGTGCCAGGAGGTGATGGGGCCAGTGGCCATGATCTTAGTTTTTTATCTTGTACATTGGGCTAAAATGTCCATTTGAACATCTCTGGAATTATTTGAAAATGTACACAAAACCTTGTTGGATCAAACAAAAGACCTCTCTAGTCTGCATTATCCTCCAAGAGCAGCCTAGAAGAAGCCCATAAATACATATATGGCCATTATTACTAGTAGTCATTGTAGTCCTTTCCATCATGGATCTATATCTCCCTTTAAAGCCAAGCAAACTAGTGCTTATCACTGCATCTTGCAGTTGTGAATTTTACAATCTAAGTACTTCCTATGATGTTCATGCAAGAAATCAGATGCTTGAAGAAGTCAGGTGTTTCAATTACACGATTTAAGCACAAACTAATTTGAGCCCAGGGTATGAAAACATTCTTGCACTTTAGCTTTAAACTTTCTTCTCCTCTAGTGGGTGTCCCTCTCATAGCCACCTCTATTTTTTTTCTTTCTTTCTCTTTGTTTGCAATGAAAGCTAGAGTTTTGAGCTCTCTGGTGAAACAAGTCATTTGGGAAAATATTGGTGCAATTTCCCTGCGTTTGGTCTCCTTGCTCCTTTCCATGCTGTTGCATAAAGTTGAGGTTGCATGTCCTCACTTAGAAAATGAGTAAAACTGCAACTCAACACGGACACATGCTTTGCATGCTGACCGTCTTGGACTCAGTTGCCGGCATCTCTAGTTAAAGGTATTGCTGGTGAAGGACTGGTTTTTCATGCCTTGACACTGTTGCCAATTGACAGGATCAACTGCCTGCAACAGAACACTTGTTTCCAATACAGGGTCCCTAGAAATTGATGGACTACAATTCCCAGAAGCCAAGCCTGCATGGCTAATTCCCAAGGATTTTTGGAGTTGTAGTCCAACCATAGGTGTCTTACAGAACATCTTGGGGAAACAAGGTGTGCAACAAATACACACATATATTACATACTAGCTGTTCATTGAAATACATTTTCTCTTTAAAGTATGAACAAATATAATTTCCCAATGCATTGTGATCCATCATTCTTTGTACATATTACTGCTTAGATTTTAAATATGTACTTTTAAGCTTGCTCTTGGTGTTTGTTTCCCATGACTGACTTTTCATTTTGGAGAAAGCACTGTTTGTTGTATAAAAGAAGTTTCTTCGAAGAGGGAGATTCATAGGTTTGGCAGAATGCAGACAACAAGGCACAACCCAAGGGCAAAATGCAGGAAACTGCAGTGGCTCAGTTGTTCTGCAGCATCGTAAACTTGGCTAAAATTATGTGAGCATGGCAGAGAGTGACAATATAAAGATGGATGGCAAGGAGGCCGGAATAGATCACTGCTGTAGAAAGACCTATACGGTCATCTGGTTGGTTTTCTCCCATCAAGGCCAGCCCTACCCATGAGGCAGTAGAGAGAGGTCAGCTCAGGTGGCAAATGATGGGCGGTGTGGAGGAGGCAGCAGCCCCTCAGCATTTCTACTCTCTGGGAGGACAGTGCTATGTGGTGCAGGCAGCTGGTTATGTTCCCTTTAACTATCCTGCTGCTGACTAAAGAGATGGAAGAAGCTGCCCCATCATTTGTGTTTAAGCAGAATTCAGATGCCATTGCAGTTGTCTTCAATAGGTGCAAGAGGGAGATGACATTCTTGTCTCTAATCTCAGGCAGCAAAAGATCCTGGAATAGCCTTTATTCCTTTGCAGAAAGGAGGATCACAAGGCTCTGATTTTCATGCCCCCCAAGATATAGGGACTGCTGATTTGGGAGGATTAAGTGGTGTTACTATATTTTGGTTTGGGGGGGTTGGGGGGGAGGCTGGTTAGATATTCCTATAAAATGGGGGAATTGATCCATGGCTCTCCAAAAGTCTTTGGATGGCTGCAATATCTTCTTCTTCTTCTTCTTCTTCTTCTTCTTCTTCTTCTTCTTCTTCTTCTTCTTCTTCTTCTTCTTCTTCTTCTTCTTCTTGTCATGGCTATACTGATTTTAGATGTAGTAGCTCTAAACACTGAAGTTGCTGGACTCAGCTCTCGTAATCCCTGACAATGGGAGTGGCTGGTTAGAGTTAGGTCTGCCTTGGATTCGTATTGACATCATTCTATCATTTTTAGATTATATCCCATTACAGCTTTTCCCACTCTTTTGTTGACTATGAGGGCTACTCCATTCCTTCTACGGGATTCTTGCCCACAATAGTAGACATGATAATCATCTGAATTGAAATCACCCATTCCCATCCATTTTAGTTCACTGATGCCCAGGATGTCGATGTTTATTCTTGCCATCTCCTGTTTGACCACCTCCAGCTTCCCAAGGTTCATAGATCTTACATTCCAGGTACCTATGCAGTATTTTTCTTTCCAGCATCGGACTTTCCTTTCACTTCCAGGCACGTCCACAGCTGAGCGTCCTTTCGGCTTTGACACAACCACTTCATTAGCTCTGGAGCTACTTGTACTTGTCCTCCACTCTTCCTCAGTAGCATGTTGGATGCCTTTCGACCTGAGGGGCCCATCTTCCAGCGTCATATCTTTTAGCCTTTTGTTTCCGATTATGGGGCGTTCTTGGCAAAGATACTGGAGTGGCATTGCCAATTCCTACTCCAGGTGGATTATGTTTAGTCGGAACTCTCCACTATGTCCTGTCCGTCTTGGGTGTCCCTGCACGGCATAGCCGAGTTACTCAAGCCCCTTCGCCATGACAAGGCAGCAATCCATGAAGGGAGGAACCAATTTAGGGGGCTTAAATATTGCAAATTTAGACATGGAGAGGAGGTATGCAGAGGACAAAATGACATGTTCAATGGTCCTGCATAGGCCTATCATTTCCGCCATGTACAGGCATATACTATCATAGACTCTTTTGTGTGGGCACACAGGACAAGTGTGTGTAACCATGTCAATTTAGTGTATGTCCAAATACTGATAATGCACAATGAATAGATCTGACGATCCATAAAAGACCAAACACACACCAAATCCTGTACATAATTCTAAGAGGACGTATTTTCCATGTAAGAATTTTGCAAAATGTTGAAATGGTTGACTTCCTGGTGAATTTCAGAACTACGGTGACCCCACACACCCTTAAGCTGCTTTGATTTTTTCCTCCTGCTTTGAAGCATCCTATTTCAGTCACAGATCTTCTCTTTTCATAAGCCTGCACCAGCTACTGGAATATATAATGCTTCATTGTAATTATATTTTGTCAAGACAGATGTGCTTTCAAGGGACAGCTTTTCATGAAAACAGTACGAAAACCTGGTAAACACACTTTCAAAAAGTGCATTCAAAAAGCACTTTCACACAAATGCTCTCTTCTAATACACTGGCACAGCTGATTACTTTTCCCTGGGACACTCCTTGAGGCAACTTTGCTGTTGCTGCATCTAGTTGTAGCCTAGCATGAGAAAATGACAGGAATATTAGACCACACTAGAATTAATATTAGTTCTCACCTCTGTGCACTCATCTCTCTCATCAATCAGCCTTTTAAGATGGAAAACCATACTTCTGGAGAGAGACTCTAGTTCTTCTGGAGCCACATCTGGGAGTTCTAGCCACTGCAAGTCAAATACATTCTCCTGATTATGGGTTACCTAAAATCAAGAAGAAAAACGCACACAAAACCAGAGATTAATCTATTTGTAATTTCTGATTGATGGAAACTTTGACGTTGTCAGTGACAAAATAAATGTCTCTGCTTTTATCTTGAGGGCTCCGTCGGAAAAATGCATTTCACTGATCCTTGCCATTTCCATTGATTGAGCATTGTTCCTGCTGATGCAGATGTGTTATGTCCTGCTGCACTTAACAGGACTTCTTCCAGTAAGTGATGCCCAGGACAGCAGGCTACGTAAAAAATTGCATCCCAACGAACTTCTGCAATAATTTGTGCATGAAATAACTTCAACATCTGCCCGTATCAATGTGATAATCAACAACTATGCTCTCTCCTCTATTACTTATTATGAGCTATGTGAATGCCTCCAGCCTGGAGTTTCAACATTAAGTATAAGAGAAGTACATGTGCAGAGCATGGGAAAGTTACTTGTTAGGAGTGTACGTGGCAGAATCTCCCACCAGCCTAACTTTTTTTTTTTTGGCTATTCCATCTTGGTAATCCTCTCTTTAAATTAATTGTTTTAAATTGAAATTTGTAATTTTATGATTTTAAGTCCTGCATGGAAGCCCTGCCGTTTGGCTTTGAAAGAACTCCTACTTAGGCTTTAAGCCTAAGACCACAGACTTATTCATATTTCAGCATTTACACCACTTATGTCAATTTATTCTGACAGAGTAGAAGTCAGTTCACAGATTGCCAACATCTATCATTGTTGAAGAAGGAAGGAAAGTTGAGTTCAGCAAAATCCCTGATTTCTACTATTGGATGAGTACTCCATTTCTGTATCTGGAAACTTGGATATGATAGAGGCATGTTTGCAATTTCCAAATGGTATCAATTCAGTTCAACACTTGACATACAATCCTAATGCAAGAACAAACAAGCAAAGTAGGGCAATTTCTCCAAACCTGACATCCTACAGACGCGTGTGACGTGTATGACAGGACTGTATAATCTAATGTGTCTGGATGGCACCCAAGTAGGGAAGCTGAACCAAGCATGCTCTATATAGAGGAACAAACTGACCAAACAAACAAACAAACAAACAAACAAACAAACAAACAAACAAACAAACAAACAAACAAACAAACAAACAAACAAACAAACAAACAAACAAACAAACAAACAAACAAACAAACAAACAAACAAACAAACAAACAAACAAACAAACAAACAAACAAACAAACAAACAAACAAACAAACAAACAAACAAACAAACAAACAAACAAACAAACAAACAAACAAACAAACAAACAAACAAACAAAAAAACCTAACAACCCCAGACTCTGAAAATTGTGCATGGCTATGACTTTATTATAAATAAGGCAAACTTCTGCGAATAAATCAAATATAATCTCCACGTTCTCCATTTGCAACAATAAACAGTGCCTCTCTGCCTTCTTTCACTTATGGTCCTAACACAAGACTAAACTAAACATTATAGTAATGGTACGGTTAGCAACTACATTTAGAAACAAATATAAGAAATGCAGTATGATACTCATTGGAAGACCAACATGAAACACAAAACTTAAATTACAAGACTGAAGACAGTTTCAACCATGGACTAAAAGCATAATCTAGATCATAAGCCTACCAGGTCTAGCTCTTAAGAAACTACATAAAGGTGGTACTAATACATACGTTTCTTAGAGGCCATGGCCAACTATCATATTGAATTTCCCTTCAGCAGATAGTCCCAGAATGTCTAGTGACATGAAATTGTGTTGTTTGTATAAACATTACCACTGCACAAGCAGTGATCTCCAAGAATAGCCAATGACAATATTTATGCTTGTGCTACAATCCTCCATTACTGTTCTGGGAAGACTTTCTAAAAGGCAGAAGTCCAATAGGATAGTGGTCCAAGTCTTCTTGGTGGCAAGTACTCATTGTTGTTTAGTTAACAAAGCCAAAAGGAATGGAAAATGCAGTGCTAGTTATGAATGTTGTACTCCAATCAGCATCACCACAAACTTTTTTTGCTGACACCAGAAAGAGTAAAAGGAGCTTTTACCAACAGGTAATATTACCTCTTGAATGTGGGAAACAATTGCTGCCTGTGTTTCAATATCAAGCTGTTTTATTTTGTCAATGAATTCTTCTTTTCTTTCACACTGTAAAGAGAAATAAAATAGATGCATATACCTGTAAGCCTTTAGAGGGACTCAACACGGCAGTGCAATTATTTCGATGGATTCTGAACCTCAAAGAAGCAATAATGAACAGAGGAGGAGCTTGTAAGAAAGCAAGATCCAAAGAAATATTTTCAGTCAGGGGACATCTAAAGTTTCTAAGCCCATGATGCTGAGCCTGGATTTTACCTTTACCTTTTTGATCTTTGGTTTAATGGATATAGTTAGCCTCATCCAAGCTGTGGATGCTGAAAAAATTGGAACCTTCCTCCCAGTCTAGCTGGTACCAAGATAGGCACCCAAACAAGTACAAACTCTAGTTAATGTACCCTAGTTTTCTATTTTATGGAACACTCTATGTAATGATGTTCACCCTGATCAGTCTTCATTGTTTGGTTGGCACCATATAACAACCCGTTTTTATCTTCATACTTTTCATTCTTATTTTGGAAGAGATTTCATTGCTGTTGCTGATAATTCTTTTATCATTTTTACTGAGGAGATGATGATGATTCAAAAAAAAAAAACAAAAAACAGGCACAGTCAAAATTATAAAAAAAAATTGACTGGTATTATAGAACAGATACAAGTTTTAACCAAAAACCTAAGTATCTGTTAACTTGATGATGATGATGATGCCTGGCTATTTTTAATTGTATACTCCATCTTTAAAATGTTTATATTAAAGAACAGTATTAAGAAAATATTGCTGGTGATAGTAATATTTTTATTTTGAATAGTTCCTGGAAAAGACCCAAAAACTGTTAACAATCTGGCTGCAACATTTGGGATCCGCTGAAGTTTTTGAACACGTTCCAAAGGAAGTCCCACATAGAGCACATGTTACAGTAATCCAACCAGGATATAACTAATGCATGTTTCACTTTGGCCAGATAAGACTGTGAACTCCTGGGAAGGAAACTGGTACACACTGCCTTATACAATTAGTACAGATAATTAATGCATTAAGAATTTCCAAAGGTACAGTAGCGTTACTTTGTTACAGCAAAAGCAAATAGAAGTGTGACACCTCAGAGATCAGTATCTGATAAAAAAGGTATGTAATTCACATACTTCAAAAGCTTACACCAAGTAAAGCTCTAGTTTCCAAACTGCTTATAATAAATTATTGTAGTTAATTTATTAGGCAATGAGTATTCCAACTGTGCTCTGTTTTGGAACCTTACCTGCACAGCACAGCCCAACACCAGTAGTAGCAGCTTTTTAATTTCATCCATGCTTTTACCTAAGAGAAAAAAAAACTGACTGTTAGTATAGAAACTAGAAGTTCAGCTCAATAGTACAGCTTGTTCATAGTTTTCCTACTTTGGCAGAAGGCTTGACTCTGTGATCCGCAAGTCCTTTCAAGCTCTATGATTATATGATTCTAGGACACATATCCTCAGTTACACTGTAGAACATGCTATATATACTACAATCTTGTTTTGCACTTTTGTTTATCTGTTTGAGGATATAAGATGAAGTGGTTATAACTTCTTAAACTGAAGAAACGCTCTTGTTTTTATAATCTTAATGCAAATCAGTACAGCATTTATTTATTTTTGCAGCTGTGCATTTCCCTTTCTTCAGGGCATCCTACATACTTACGCAAAAAGCAGTTGTCTCTTCCATGTTTAGCTTCAGAATACAGCCTGCTCACTTTTTGCACAGTTTCTGCAGAGGCAATTAAAATTACTGCTAGCCAGAGATTGGCACTAATGTATTACAATCAATTAAGTTATTAAGTTGGACATCTTCAAGCATAATTGGGCCATTTAATTAGTCTTTAATTTAACTTGGCATTTTAACATTAATGTTTCTGCAATGATAAGTAATCAGGTATGAGATGGTGCAAGGAAAGAAAACTGTTGCCTGGTGACAGGACTATTAATGAACTTCATAGTAGAAACCTTCTTTATCTTTCCACTCCAGGATCTGCATAGCCAGCCTGATGAAGAAGAGTCTTAAAATAAGCTTTTAAAAGGATAAGGATAAAGAGATGGGGTTGTAAGAGAGGGGAAAAGGAAAAGTAAGAGAAAGGATTTTGGGAGACTGGGTGAGAAATGGGATTTTTAAAAATTCTTGCAGCTATATCCTTCTATCAAACTCTCAAAACAGGGGCAAAAGGGAAGGGAGAAGTAAAATCACTGATGAGACTGTTCACCTTTATTCTGGTAAGCTTTTTAGTGCAGTAGTGTAGACATAATTTTATTAACTCATTAACTACTAACTTAGTATGTGACCATTTTTAAACTATATTTCAATCTCTACTACAACTTATTCTGTCCACATAACAAAATAGGTTTCATAAAAGATTCAGACTACTCTGATCTACATGGAAGAGTACATCCATGAGATCTGAGCACATGGAAGTTGTCTTACATTAAATAAACTACTGGGTGATTCTAGTCAGGTGTCCTATACACTGACTGTGGGGCCAGTCTGGGACAGTATAGCTTGCTGAAAACCACACCGGCTGGCTCTTTTCCTACTAGGCACAATGGGTAATATTCCTGATCCCTGCTCCAACTCAGAGCTATCCAACCATAGACAAATATATCCTCCTTGAATTCTGATTATTATTCCTCTTCTATCAAAGGCGGAATGTCATCATGCCTTTTTTTTAAAAAAAACTTTTGATATACTAGTTCTAAACATTTTGTCCCAGCCTGCAAGTCTTTTTCCCATTTATATTACCTCCAATGATCAGCTGTAACAACCTACATTTACTTCTTAATTTCCTTTTGAAATCATTCAACTAGTAACTTCTTTTCCACCATGCAAGTCTTTTCCTATTTATTATACCTTCAATGATGAGCTGTAACAATTTGCACTTGCTTTTGAAATCATTCAGGTTCACGACTATCACTGCATCTTGGAGTAGTGAGTTACACCATTTAACTACAAACTTTATGAAGGAGTATTTCTCCTCTCCTCTCCTCTTTTGCTTAGAATGCATCTTCAACACAACTGAACTACTGGGAATGTCACAGCAGGACTTGCATGAACAACATACATTCCAATTTAAACCTTCTTCCTACTCTAAACAAAGACACAAATTGAATTCCATCGTCTTGTATATGTAATTATGTTCAATTCCACCTGCTACTTGAGCTCTTCTAATGAATCTAACCATCTGCAAAACTCATGAAAAAACTAGTCATATAGCAGTGGATGAGGTGGCTAGATCTGTTTAAAAGGTTTCCTGGATAAGAGCTAACAAATAAAAGATCCTTCACAATATGAAGTCCTTAATTGGAGGAAATACCTCGATTTTACATTTTTACTTTACCCTTCAATTATTTTTAACAAATACATATTAAGTATTACAGATCTAGAAAAGACATTTACTGTCCTAAGATACTAATTTTTCTATACATTTATCCACAGCTATAAATTCACCTATGACACATCTAGGCAACATAAAACCCAGGATAGGCATAGAAGGCTCATGTGAGTTTCCCACTGGCTCTGAAGACTGTGCTGACTCTGTTGTATGCCAATGGCTTCTATAATTCACAAGCTTCTACAATTTTCACTTAGAGATACAAAGTAAACTAGAGAATTGATTTTGAACTTATGAGCAGCATCAAGATTAATGATCACTAAGAATTTGGAAGAGAATGCATGATTTTCAGTTAAAAGAATATAGTAGTATAAAGAAGTAAGGAACATATGTAGCTATTAATGATAAGCTAACATGTAATATTAAAGTAGAGAAGTGATTTTAAAGAGTTATACTTTCGCAGATATCTGGGAAGAATTCTTTGATTATGTGTTAATAAAGAAGATGGGAAGTGCACTGTCACAAGAATCAAAGAATCACTACAATTTTGGAAGGGGAAAGGGACTCCATAAACGGAAGAGAATTGACTACATCTTCAATGTCCTGGGGGAATACACACACTTTTGTTACAGTTGTTTAGAACTTTTGTGTCATAAGGTTTTTAATGTATTGCTATGTGTATAATGTCTTGGTTTGTTTTATGTTTTTTATTATTAATAATAAAAAAGATACAAAACAACCATGAATAAAACACCTGTTTTAACAAGGTGGTCCCATTGGCTAGAAACACTGGAAATCAAGAAGTATAAAGTTACTGAGTTGACCAATAAGCTCTGGGAGTTAAAATACATTTTACTGCTTTGGCACCTCAGATGAGTGTGTCCTCTTTGAGGCCAAATTGGCAGAGATTGGCTCATTTTGGCTAAAATCTGGCTATACGTCCAAGCTTTTGGGGTTCAATGACTATGGAGTGCTTCTGGCTAGTCGGACTGTGGGCTGAGTCTTCTATTTGTTTATTCTGCTATATTGTTTTAAATTCTTCAGAGAGGGTGTTCTGTTTTGGCTAATTGCTTTAAGCTACAATTACTGTCTATGCCCTACACAGAACTCTCTGAATACAGATTAGGAAATAAATATTTTAATGAATAATAATACTGAATTCAAATGTTAGTGTTTAGTGTTAAACAGAAAGTCCTGTGCAGTATAGTTTTCCCACAAACAAAACTCCATCACTCTTTCCACCTTTCAGTGAAGGACAGATGCACAAGGGACAAACTGTGCAGAAAAAAAATGTATTAGTCATTACTTGGGATACTAATGGGTAAGTAAAAAATGCAGAAGGCATGTGATGAGATTGTTGGTGGCTCTTTAAATATATTGCCTGACCCAATTCTGATGAAATGGATTATGTTCCAGATAACAAAATGTAGATGGACTTTACATTTTATTATTTTAGTAGTTATTTATTATTATCTGCTTCAGCTGTGTACATACCAAAACGTATATTTGAAGTATGTATATATTCACCTTGGCGACTGAAAAATATTAAACACCTCATCCAACTTCAGTACTTTTTCCTTCCTTCCTACTGATTTTTTCTTACTGGTTGAACTCCTGCTGCACTGTTACACAAGTGGAAATCAAAAGGTGTGACATTATCGCTGCACAAGAGTGCAGCAATAGATGTTGTGCAACAGAACAAACCAGCATTCCATCAGACAATTCAAAAACTTAAGGTATTCCAAACAAAAACTTGTAACTTTGAAACTGGACCTTGGATCAACAAAAAAATTAACACAGAAGACAGCCTGCATTTGCTCTGTGCCAAATCTGGGGATATTTGGGCAAAGAGTTTTCAAGCTATGATTTTAAAAAAAGTAAAAGTAGAACCATTCACACTTGTAAAACAAAACAAAAACCCAGCCCTGACAATTGCTTTGTGTTCACGTGAGAAGTGATTAACTGATGAGAAAACGAGTCAGCTTCTGGGATATTCCCTTGCATGGTGTCACTTGGTGAATGGTAGTGAGCACAAGAGGATATCCTGTAGACCATCATGACTGCTGTCACTGGTGTTGTCAACACTCAGACTGCCATTTGCTATGTAAAGCTTGGTATCTTTTTTTCTTGCTGGCAAAGCAGGCACGATATTTTGCAGTAATATCAGGCCATTTCCTGGGTGTTTGGATCATGAGTACATAAGCATATCCCACATTCATAAACCAGAATTTTTTCTAAAGAATTGAATTCACTTCTCCCTAGCCAGCAATTCAGGAGTTCATTGCAGGATTAGGGCACATGCACCCCACAAGTGGTGACTTGTTAATTACCAACTAGAAGTAAATTAATGTTACACCTTTTGCCTTCTACCTGCATAACAAGTAACAGCATTTCATATATTGGCTTTCAGGAAGCTTTTATTGTAACAGAATTATCTTTCATTAGGCCCATCTGCATGTTTTTATTTTTGTGTATGTATTATATATCATCAAATTGCTCCAGTTATCATGATGGTAGGAATTAATGAGCACCAAAAGTTCCTACTGTTAACAACCTTGTTGATGCCTCATACAATAAAGGTCATGGCTTCCCTGTTGAATCAAGCTTCTTTACTCAGCCCCACTGCAGAAGATTACTGCTAAATCTCCTATTTTGTGTTATGTTTTTTTTTTTAGTACAACCCTATACAAAGCATTCCTTTAGGTTACTCTTGGATTAAAGCTCACTGGATCAAGTTAACAGGTTCATCTTCTCCTCAGGTTCATCTTCTCCTGTTTACATGGAGGCAAACAAGCACACAGAAAAGCTACTAATAAGATTCAGTGACAAAGCGTCTTGGGCTAACACCTTTCTAGGCTCTACCATATGCCAGCCATCAACTAAGAACAACTCTGTCACAGCAGATAGTCTGCATTGTCCTTTAATGTCTACATTTGCATGACCGAGATGCTTGCTTCATAGTCCAGCTGAGAAGGTAAAACCATATGGATAATTAAATGATCACTATGTGTCTGTTGTCTTATTGGAAGGTGTCAGGAAGGCACCTAAGGGGACTAAGTTCTCAGCCAATCAGCAGAACAAGCAGGTGGCAGACACGCTTACTAATGAGTCCATCTTGATTCCCTTAAGGCTCAACTAAAAGGAAAATGGATAGCTGTAAGCAGTACAGGCTGGTTCCATTTTTGATGTCCTTCTGCAAGCAGGTGAAGGCCTTCCTCTTCAGGCAAGCTTTCCCTCAGTGATTGGTTGCCTGAGTGGTGTTTTTAAATGAACTGCTGTGTTTACTGCTTTAAATGTGTTTTTGGTGGTGGTAGTGGGTCAACCGTTTCTCAGTGTGATATTTGTTTGATTCTTTTAAAATATTTATATACTTACCGTTTTTAGCTTT